AATATTATTTAACATCTCCCCTTAAACTCACGATGCGGCAACTACAAGCATCGAGAGTTTGCCAACTAGAAAACGAAAATGAGAGATGGAATGTGCCTTGGTGAAGAAATCTGCAAGGAAAAAGGAACAAAAGGCAAAGCAATGGTGCCATGCTTGAGATGATGATGAGTAAGATGACAATCGATCTCAATGTGCTTAGTTCGCTCATGAAAAACCGAGTTGTGAGCAATCTAAATAGAACTCTGGTTGTCACAATACATAAGACTAGGATGAGAAAAGGAAACTCCCGTATCAACAAGTAACCAACGTAACCAAACAATCTCTTTGGTAGTAGATGTCATAACACGATATTCTGCTTCAGTGGATGATTGAGAAACAATAGATTGTTTCTTGCTTTTCCAAGAAATAAGAGAATCACCTAAAAAGATACAGAACCCGATAACAGACTTGCGATCTGTGGGATCACTACCATGATCAGCATCAGAGTATGCACGCAACTCTAAGGAAGAGGTGGATGAAAGTAAAAGACTCTGAAAAACTGTACCTCGAAGATATCGCAAAATACGAAGAACAACTGCCCAGTGAATAGTAGTAGGAGAAGCAACAAACCAACTAACAACATGAACAGCATATGCAATATCTGGACGATTAATGGTGAGATGTACCAAACTCCCAACAATAGTGCAGTATAAAGTGGGATCTATCAAAGGTAAACCATCAGAAGAAAAGTACCTTACGTTAACCTCAATGGGAGTATCTACAATTTTGTTATCAGTAAGTCTAGCCCGCTGAAGAATATCTGTAACATATTTCGACTAAGAAAGAAGGTAACCTCTAGGTGAGTATGCTACCTCAATACCCAAGAAATATCAAAGATAACCCAAATCCTTCATTTCAAATCGTCTAGCCAACTCTGTCTTCAAAACTGAAATACCATCAATATCATCACCAATAATAATCATATCATCAACATATAAAGACAGAATGATACGACCTGCATCAGTGCACTTAATAAAAAAAGCAGAATCATGACTGCTAGGAACAAAGCCAAGAGATGAGATCACAATAGAGAATTTCTCAAACCAAGTACGAGGTGCTTGTTTGAGACCATATAATGCTTTCTTAAGTTTACAAACATATCCAGAGTCATATGAAATACCAGAAGGGGGTGCCATGTAAACTTCTTCTTGAAGATCTCCATTCAAGAAGGCATTTTTAACATTAAGCTGAGAAATATGCCACTGACGAATCGAAGCTGCAGCAATAAGAGTACGAATAATAGTCATTTTTGCAACTGAGGCAAATGTCTCCTCATAATCCATACCATACTATTGAGAATATCCTTTTGCAACCAGCCTAGCTTTGTATCGCTCAATAGACCCATCAGAATTAGTTTTAATCTTATACACCCAACGACAACAACAACACTCTTACCAGGAGGTAAAGGAACCAGATCCCAAGTATCTGTTTTATGCAAAACAGAAAGTTCCTCATCCATAGCTTGCTGCCAAAGTGGATCAAGAATTGCCTCTTTATAGGAAGAGGGCTCAAAGAGACAATGAATAGAAGCTAAAAAAGAAGTAAATAATGAAGAATAACAAGAATAAGCAAAATTTGGTAGTTTTGTGGACTTACGAATGTTGATGGACTAATGTAGAGGTGGATCCATAATCTCAGATGAAGCTTGAGGGGTTGTAGATGAGAATGGAGCTTCAGGTGTGCTAGAGAGTAAAGTACCAGTACCTGTAGAGTTATGAGTACAAATTGATCGAACATGGGGAGAGGTATCATTACCAAAATCCTCAAAAAAGGGATCTATATGAATAATATCAGATTTAGTCATGTTATGAGTAGTGGATGGAATAGAAAAGAAAGGTATGTGCTCAAGAAAGACAACGTGACGAGACACATAAAGTTTCTGAGTTATTGGATCAAAACAACGATACCCCTTTTTACCTTCACCATAACCCAGAAAGACACAAACAGCGGATCGAGAAGATAACTTACTGCGTTCTACATGAGGATGAAGAACAAAACAAGTATAACCAAAAACTCTAAATGAGGAATAATCAGGGATATACCCATATAACTTTTCAAAAGGAGATAGACCCGAACTATGAGAAGATGAAATTGTATTAATCAAACTTACTGCAGTAAGAACAGCTTCTCCCCAAAACTCACTAGGAACAAAAGCAGACAACAAGAGAGAACAAGCAGTTTCGATAATATGCCTATGTTTTCTTTCAGCAACACCATTTTGCTCAGGAGTATCTATACATGAAGTTTGGTGGATGGTTCCATCTAAACCAAGCAATTGGCAAAATTTATTAGAGGTGTATTCCCCACCCAAATCACACCTAAAACATTTAATCATGGCAGAATGTTGAGTTTTGATAAGAGCTCGAAAAGCTGTATATATCTCAAAGAATTCAGAACGATGTTTCATTAAATAAACCCAACAATAACGAGTATGATCATCAATAAAAGAGACATAATATTGAGACCCTCCTTTTGTGGCAACAGGAGAAGGTCCCCGTACATCAGAATGAATCAAATCAAATGGTGAAGAAGAAACAAAAATACTTCGATTAAAAGATCAAGCAGAAAATTTTGCTAGTTTACATCCACTACAATCAGAAATGTCACAAGTTTTTAAATTTCCTAAAGCTCCTGAGGATGCCAAAAATCTCAAACGAGAAGACGAAACATGACCTAGACGGAAATGCCATAAATAAAAACTAGAAGATGAAAGACTTAAACGAAAGGAAGACAAATCAACAGTAGTAGTAGCAGCGGCGGCAGTAGCAACTGACACTTTTAACTCATCTAAAATATATAGTCAATTCTCCCTACGACCTGTCCCAATCAGCTTCTGAGACTGCAGATCCTGTACACAACAAAAAGAACCCGAAAACATGACTAAATAATCACCAGAATCACATATTTGACCAACAGACGTAAGATTCAATTTAAGTTTTGGAATAAGATAAATATTAGGGAGAGACAAGTGAGGTGTGACAACAGAACCAACACCTGCTAAGGGCATAGGAGTTCCATCAGCAGTCATAACAGGAATGGAGGACAAATGGGACATAGAGGTAAAAGATGAGGAATCTAGAGACATATGATGAGAAGCACTAGAATCCAAGATCCATTCAGAGTGTGACATACCTGAGGAACTATGAGGCAACTGACCTATGGAAGAAGAAGCGAACATTGCTTGTGGCTGCAAGGAGAGAAACTTCTGAAATTGCTCAGCCAAAGTATTGGGATCGGTAATAGAGCCTGGGGAAGTTGCTGCTGCAGTATTATGGTGTGATGGTTTATAACCCTGAGGTGGTCTATGAGCAATAGGTTGTGAATGACTGCCAAACTTCCAAGCTTGATTCTGTTGTCTCAACTTAGGACACTGAGCCTTCCAATGACCTTTCTGCTTACAGAAACTGCACTCGTCGAAGCCAACCATTGTGTAAGGTTTCTTCTGATGATTAGAGAATGGCTTCGAATGTACTACTAGTACTGAAGGATTCGAAGCAGAAAGAATTTCCTTTTCAGAATAAGATTGAAGACGTATTTCTTCAGCCAATAACTCACTCATAACAGAGTCAACAGAAAGCAGTGGAGAACAATGTAGAATTGAACCTCTAAGTCCTTCGAAGTCACTGCGAAGTGCTGTTAAAAACTGTACTAATCGTTGCTGCTCTCTATGCTCAATATAGGCACCACATGCCTTTAATTCTACCGACTCTGTAAGAGCCAATTGATCCCAAAGATCTGTCATAGCAGAATAAAACTCTTGAATACTCATATTCTTCTGATAAAGAGCTCGTATGTCATTCTCTAATTGATACTGTTTTGCAAAATTTGATTGCGTGAATAACCTTTGCAAATAATCCCAAACCTCTTTTGCTGTCTCATACTTCGCCAACTGCATGCCTATCGAAGGTTCAATAGAATTGTTGATCCAAGTAATGATTTTTGCATTATTTGCCTCCCATGTATCTATCAAAACAACATCACTCTCCTCAATGTTCTTCGGTATCATATAAGTTCCACTAACATACCCCCACATCTTCTTATCTTTAAGAAAATTTCTCATTACATAGCTTTAATATGAATAGTTCTTCCCATCCAACCTCACACTCACAGACTGAAGCGAATCATCTCTTTCAGTAGCCATAATCAACAATCACAAAAAACTAGAATGCAAAAGCAGCAAAAAACCAAATACCAAATTGCAGAAACTGAACAGAAATTCAGAAACTAAACAAATATCTTCTCACTACTATATGATTACTCCAAAACACAAAACGAATTTGTAGAAACTGAACGCAAATACCAAATTGCAAAAGCTGAAGGGAAGACGAAATACCAAAATAATTGTAAAAATTGACGAAATATCAAAATAGTTGGATCCGCGAAGCTGTGTTCCGGATTAAGTCTCGTTCCATAAAACCAGCTCTGATACCATGTTAAAATAATTAAGATCAAACACAAAAAGGAGGCTAGAATTCTGAATAATCTGTATATTATAAATGCTTAACCTTAACTTAAATACAAATAAAGTATATATAGATTAAACTAAAAATACTATTCTACTCTTAATAAATAAAACTACATAAATATTATTTAACAGGTTGAAATGCGAGACATAAACATAGACCTTGGTAGATTATATCAGAAATATTTAATGCAAGAATCATCGAGAACCCTCCAATGGCATGTCTGTAGATTTAATGCATGAGTTTTTTCTCTTTTAGTTTCTCGAATATAGAATCCTCAACTTGCTCCCTTTCACTTTCTGAATCAAGTGGATGTTTTTATCTTGGTGTGTTGGAACTGAGGTTGAGGTTGATTCCTCTTTGGAGAATTGAACACGCAACCTCTCCTTAAAGGAGGAGTGTTGGTCCTAGTGGAGCTTGAGCCTCTTTGATAAAGTTGATGTAGTTAGCATTCTTTGTTCATTTTAGGAGATTAGGCAAGCATGTTTTGAAAAATATCTTCGTGAAAAGCATGGCAGTAGTAATAAATTAAGAATGGAAAGATCAAAAGGTGCAGAAGAAAGAAGGCGATCAAGGGCATGCATGTGACATCCGTTTTTTTAATCCTATAGAAGATAGATAACACCTCTTGAACTCTTTATAACAATCCCATGCTTTCATTCAGTTCATTGAAATCATTTCATTCCCCTCTTCTTCAAAGACATGGCAAAACTTGTCTGTTTCTTAACATTGCTCTACTTTGCCCTCTGCATGGTTGGCACGGCAGGGTGTGCCTCCAGCCCCACAGATTTCATCAAGTCCTCATGCAAGGCCACTCGCTATCCAGAGTTATGTGTCGGATGCTTGTCAGGTTATGCTAGTGTAATTCAACGAAATGAGCGACGTCTAGCTCTCACTGCCTTGTCAGTGAGTCTAGCCAGGGCTAGGTCAGCTGCAGCATTTGTGACCAAGATGACTAAAGTTAGGGGAATTAAGCCTAGAGAGTACCAAGCGGCGAAGGACTGCATAGAAAACATGGGTGATAGTGTGGATCGACTTAGCCAGTCAGTCAGAGAACTTGGTCATTCGGGTCGAGCTGTTGGTCGAGACTTTTTGTGGCATATGAGTAACGTGCTGACTTGGGTTAGTGCTGCACTAACTGATGAGAACACCTGCCTTGATGGGTTTGCTGGCCATCGAATGGATGGAAATGTGAAGGTTGCCATCAAGCGCCGGATCAGCAATGTTGCTCAGGTCACTAGCAATGCGCTTGCATTAGTTGATCGTTTTGCATCTAGACACCGTTCCAGAAATCCTTAGAATTCATCTGAAGCTGATGGTTCCAGTTGTGTGTAATCATCACCAAGCCTTACAAGTAAGGTTATATGTGTGGCCTAGTTTTGTGTTTGAGCTTGCTACTCGTATGTAAATGTAAGATAAATAACCTTAAGTTTGTAACAAGCTACTTCTCCTGTTACTGCTACCTCCGTCCCGTTTCTTGTAAACTAGTACTACTAAGCATAACCCATCTCTCTCTTTCATGGTCCTTGTAACTATAACTTGTCTTGCTGAATTGCAGCTTTCACAGTTCATTGGAAGAATAGGGTGAAGAAATCAACCAGTTTGAATTTGCTTTGCGAAACCACCTTTCACAATCGCTAGTTTTTGCCATGCATCTTCAAATAATATTCAGCTTTATTGGACGTGAATCAGAACCCTTAGGATTCAGGGCACTTACTTTGCATGATATCTTCATGTTCATATGTAGTGTAAAATTTTGGTGAAATTACTAGTTGACTGAACCTAAAGAGAGTCACTTGAAACGTTATACGTTATCAATCTTGCAAAGTGAAACTCTGCCTCAAATCCCTCGATTCTATAGCAGTTTAGCTCCACGTAACCAGTTGAAGTTATTTATAGATCTAAATTAGATTTAAAAGTTGTTTCGGAAGTTTCTTTGTTTTTCTTATTATTTCTTAATTTCTTTTCTAATTAGGTTTGAAAGTTTCATTTAATTGGGATATTATTATTTAGGTTGGTTTAGTTTATTATTTAAATATAAAAATAATTGATATTTAAAGTTATTAAATTAGAGTTTTCTTTACTATTTATGTTACCTTACCTGATTTTTATTTTTTTTAATTTTTCGACACGCGCGGGTTATAATCCGGTCACAAGATAAACAAATCGAAGTTAAAGCAAAAGCACCATTATTGATTTGAACGTAAATTAATGATGTTACTATACTTTTGACTTGCTTTGCAGCAGGGAGAACGAATCCGATTCTGGTTGATTTTGCATGACACTAAGATGCAATCCAAAGCATTAAAAGTAGTGAAAGTCTCTTTGCAGTGCTTATCTTTTAAATTATCCAAATTGTTTATGGATTTGTCTATAAAATATTCTGCCACACACAATGAACTGAAACTGACAAAAGGAAAGCAGGATTTGAATAGTCCTCAATGAAGGTAGGGTTCTGAAGACCAACACACAGCTAGGACCAATCACAAGTGGAGCAAAATATATCATCTCAAAGTTAAAAAAGTTTATTCCTCCTCATTCCCCTGGCCCGTGATGTTTCCAGTTTTGTTGAGATTTTCAAGCAAAGCAGGTTAAGCTTTAGATTTTCAAGTAAATCATGTTAAGCTTGAGATTTTCAAAACAATGTCACTTCCTACAATAAAGCACCTTTAATTTGTTCAGGAGGGACGGGGAATTCACATGCCGAGGTTGAGTGTATTAATTATCTCGTAATGGTGGCAAGCGACGCAAAGTATAGTGTAGATGAAACTAGGGTTTTTGAATTCCAATTCTAATATCATGATCCTAAATTGCAGAGAAATAGGTAAATAAAACTCTAATATTATCTAAAAAGTATGAAATTTAATAAATTCATTAAAAAAATAGCTATTTATATAGAGATTAAACTCAACCTAACCAGAAGAATCCAAAACTAAATTTAAAAAATAATTAAACTCTAAAATTAACTAGAAAAACAATTAAAACATCAAAAATATATTCTAGTTTAATTCAAGGATTTTTAAGACCTCGACTAGTTATTGTTAGTTGAGCCCCTTATAAAATTGAACCTATAAACCCAATCCAATATTAAATCTAAAATTATAGTTATTTTTGTTTGATTGTGCATTTGACAAGTCCAAGCTTCTTCGTGGGCTTTGTTTTCTATTTATCTAGTTCATAAATATATTTATGTTAATTCTATGTATTTATGAAAAACTTAACCTAAAGTCAACTTTAAATTCTATATATAATGGCTCATCATCACAATAAAGATAAATAACAAAACTTTAAAGATAAATAACAAAACTTTAAAGGTTATGGAAATACTCACATTTTCTAGTAAATTAATAATAAAAGCATTGTTATTATTATTCTTTATTATGGTATAAGGATTATATTTCTTATGATGCAGCTTATCATGCACCTCACCAAGAATATTTATTTGCATAAAAACACCAACACCCTGTCTCTTTTCTTTAATACTTTAGCAAGACAATATCTATCGGTGACCTCATTACATTTGGCATTGATTTTCATCAATTTTCATCTTATTTTATCAAACATAGCTAAAACATCTATACTCATCTTCTCGACAACAATGATATATCCAACGCCCTTTGAAACTGGTATGAGATCAAGTACATGACTAGAATATTGTAAATACATAATCTCATATGGTGATTATTAATAGCATCATGTTTAATATTGTTGTAAGCAAAAGGATGAATACATAAGTGGTATTGAGGTATGACACAACATATCATCATACCAAACCTGATGTAAGTTCCTTCAAGTCAAAACATGGAATATGAGCAACATACGCAACGAATTCAAAATATTGTAAGTATTTTATAGTTAATATATGATGTTAAAAGTGTTTTATTTATAGGTTAATAACTGCATTTGCTGAACATTGGGTTGGCAATTTGTTACAGGATAATAAAGAAGTCGTTACTTATCTTTATAAGATGGAAGATAATACACTTGCTCATTATAACACATCTCAATGGTTCGACTCATGTCGCACTATATTTGAGATACTTTGAGAGACATTATATTTGGATGATGCCTTGTTGAAAGATGAGATGACTCACACATTAAGAAGTTGTGCTATTGATAAACCGGCCCAATAACTCATTATCGTAGACATACATAAACTAGGTAATATTTAGAGAGCATAATTATGTTGTGTTACTTCTTTAGCTATGCATTTGTATTTTTTTTATTTTTTATGTATTTTTTTATACTTTTGTATTTGTTTTGGACTTATCAAGTTGAGATTTTAACATTATCTTTCATATTATGAACATTCAAACTAATTTTAGACAAGTAAGTAAAATTTAAAGTCATGAATCTACAAATACACAAGAGATTAATGACAAGAAGTTTTTTATAATTATAAAGTGTGCATTTATAGGTTAACAGATATGGTGACATTTATAGGTGAAAGAATGTGGCACATTGTTATATTGTGCTATTGCAAAGATGAATTATTGTTATAATAAATGAGAAAAAATAATATTAAAATATTTCATCAATATAAAGAAATCTTAATGCCATTTTATATAGAGATGTAAATGGGATTCGCATGTTTAAGTCAAAGATGTTGATGTGTTTTGTATCTTTGATTAAATTGTGTTATTTTTTTAATACTTTTCTCCTTTTTATCCAAGTGTGTTAAAAAACAAAAATATCCTTAGGTAATAGGGTTTTACATGACTTCTCTTATACATGGTTGTGTCTAATGTGTTATTGTTATGTTTAATCACATTCAACATCATCATTTGTGTTTTTTATTTTTAAGTTCTTAAATTTTGAGAATTTTTTATTTAAATTGAAAATTTTAGATTTTTTTCTAAAATTAAATAATTTTAAAAAATATATCTATAAAATAACACAGTTCGGTATTGCTCGCTCATTCAAAATGAAAAAAGTTAAGTTCTCACATATAAAAAGTGTGAGAACTCATGAAATTTTTGTTAAATAGGTTGCAAAAAATACAATGAAAAGAAAGGAAAAGAAAAAAGATGAATAAAATCCTAGAATTACATTGAAGCTCTGGTTATGACACTAAGAAAAATTATTAATAATTATTTATCGTTCAAATGCAAGTAAATTATTAGTTATTTTTGGACAATAAATATAACCCATTATATTATTATTAATGATTATCTTCTTCTTTTTTATGATACATATAGCGTGAGTTTATGTGTGCAGTGGAGGTGTTTTTATCTCTTGTAATTCTAGTAGCCTATTTAACAGTTGTTTTGAGTTTCTAAAAGTCGGGCATGCAATATATGTTATTTTGTTAAAAAATAAAAAATAAAATGGGTGATTTTGTATGTATTTTATCAATCCAAAATTCAGTATTATAATTGTATTACAAGATTTTAGAAATATAAAAAATTTATTCATGTTATTTCTCTTTTACCTGATTATCATTAAATGTTTATTCTGAGGGAGTAATAATAAGAAGAATACAAGTGTGTGAAAGGGTGTAATAATTATCTTTTGATATTATATTTATCTAAAGGACTGCCGAGCAGCATCTTTGGCACGATTGGGAAAACCCATGGTGATGAGCAATCCATCCCTTGACCTTTTGAAAGAAACATACTCCATCAGTTCCTCCATTAGGGTCTTAATTTCCTTCCTTTTTTTTTTAAAAAAAATACAAATTTAAATATCTCTTGAAAAGTCAAAATATTTTTTTTTTAATTTATAATTAATTTATAATATTAACACATCAAAAAAAACATAAAAAATAATTTAAATAAAAAAATTAATTGTTTTTAAAAAACACACTCACGATAAAGATCTCACTTAACTTCTGTAATTTGTACCCTTCATCATCTCCTAAATTTACTAAAAAGAAAATGGAAATGTAAATACCCTTTGGTGAATTACCCTATAGGACATGAGATCCAGAAGGGAGAGACTATATAATTGGATTTGAGCTACCGAAATTCAAGACAAGGCCTGCCCCATCAATCAATCAATCAATCAATGTTGTTAAAACCACACATTTCACAAGGCCCTCAATCGATATGACGTCTTTGATGTTGCTTGTTTCAAATCTGCATCTTATGTCGGAGGTGATTTAAAAGCAGCGTTCGATGTTATAATTGCAATTGTTTTTTATTTTATTTTTAAATATATTAAAATTTTAAAAAATATTTTAAAATATAAAAAATTCAGTTTTTTTTTTTTTAACACACGGTGATACCGGAAAAGCAAACATGGAAACAGACAGGAGAGAAAAAGCTGGTGGACAACTTGATGGGTTGTGGCAGTTTTCAATTAAATACACACAGGGTTTGGTTTCTTTTCTTTTCATGATTTGATTAAGACTAGCAATCGGACGCCGATATGATTTTTGTCCTCTTTACACCACAAGTGATAAGTTCTTGTATACAGTTTGGCTGGTTTATGAACTTTTGACATTATGGTGAGATGGAGTTTTCAACTTTTCTTTAGAGACAATACTATTGGCTAGGAATTTATGACTGGGACCGAAGGCTAGAAAACTACCATGACCTCAAAATTTAGAAAGAGATGATTATGGGAACAGATAGGCTAGAAAACCTAGGCAGGGAA